GACTTCAAACACTGCTTCACTGCACTTCCTTCCATGCCTAAAAATGAGGTTTATTGTGCACCTTTCATTATGGTATTCTGTAAAAATTATAATGGCTGGGTCGTAAAACAAGTAAATAAAAATCAAGCCACATTATGGCTTAATGTAATGTGACAATCTAGCCATACATTCTTGCCTTTTTCCTAGTGTGAGAATCCAGCCTCTTAACATCTAATGCTTCTGCCTTTATTTGAACTGTGTTGAAGCCAAATTGGGGGGGGGGATCTCAGGCTTAAGAGCTACCTGATGAAATCGTAAGACTTATTTCAAAAAGGAAACATACTAGAGGTAGGTGATGGAAATGTCAGATCTAGAGATAACTAGGGCACAGATAGCAGCTTCATCCAACTATCATAGAAAAAGGAAAAGAAGACTAGAGTATCCCAGGTTATTGCCCGGAAGCATCAACCACAGAAAATTAATAGTATAGAATCTGGACCTTGGTATTCCCCAATTCAGTAGTCATCTGTTGTTTGGTAGCACTGTGAAATATATATGGCTTCCTTTCCTTGAACACCTTATTTTTCCTTCCCCCATATAGAAATGTGCTAGTAGGTATTTATACATTTTTAAAATAAAAATGTCTTAAGAAAATATGCTTAGGTTAGCCAATGAAATGAATGCTTTTGGTCCCAACTGGAGGATTGGCTGGGATTTATTCTTTGTGCCTAAATCAATGTCAGGAGAAGCTACAGTTTTCAATATTTTTAATGTATAACCTGTGGACACAGGCAGGTATGGAAAAGTACTAAAAGGTAGAAATAAATGTTTGTATAAATATATAAATACGTAAGAAAAATGATGTGAAAAAAATTTATATGAAATGTCCCAGTTTGCAATAAGGAAACTGAAAGGTAATGTTTATGAGTATTACAAAGTGATAGAGCTGAGCAAATAATTCATAAGTTACCAGCAAATGTAGTCATTTTTACACTTTCTAGAATATCTGCAAATAGACGGATGGCTTGTAGTACATCTTTATTATTCCATTAATGTTATATTAATATATGCAGATGGATTATGAACAATGTACCTTCTGTATGATTTTTAGGATGTATTGTTAAATCATAAATAAGTCCACATGGTATTTCCATTTTTTTTTAACTCGGTGACTACCCACATCCTCCCTCTGCCCCTCTCTCTCTCACACACAATCTATTCATCCATCCATGATCTATCTATCTATCTATCTATCTATCTATCTATCTATCTATCTATCTATCTATCAACTATCTTAAAAATAAACATTTATATTGTTTAAAAAACAATGTTTTAATATAAAGGTTTAGTTGTGCAAATAGCTTTAATTTCTTTTTCAGTACCTTTTCTCCCTTGCAAACAGAACAAGAGATGCGAACAAAACAGATATTTTCCATTAATATTGATGCATTTTTCGTATTTGTATTAATCACCTGGATCAGCCACTTGCCGCTAAGGACCAAGCTATAGGTAGGAATTATAATGAAAAGCCCAGACAATAGTTTATATGGCAAAACTATTCATTTTATTCATTAAGCAAGGTAAAAAATTAATCCACCCAGGTTTATTTATTTATAGTAGGTATATCCTGCTGGTTTCCAAAGACTCCCAGCAGTATACAGAATAATGCATACATAAAATTTCAAATAAAATCAGCCCCATTCCAACTAGATTGCAGGACTTTCAGGAGAAAGATATCTAAAGGAACCTGTCAAGAAGGCCACCAACTGAATCTGAGGAAAGAGGTACATATCCACTCTCACGGAGTATCTTTTGCTTCTCTTCTCCTAACTCATCTGGGATAGGAGTACTAATTGGATTTACATAATCCACACTGTGGACTATGAAAGCAGGATACCCACCTATTTTAAATAAACCCTGGAAGGCCATAGGTTCCTCTTCTTGCATTTAATTAATATTAGCATAATTCCATGAACATAGGAGATGTCAATTTCTGTTCCTCCAATACATGTCAATCGGTTACTCTGATTAGGGCATTGACTTGAAGACTTGCCTGGTCCATGAAAGGCTGTCTGGATTTACTGTTACCCCAACATATCACACCAGATGATGTTGCTAAAGCAGGAAGATGCAATAGCATCACTTCTCCTGAAAGCTAATTAGGTACATTTGCAAGCAAATTAAGAATTTTGAAATTAACAGAGTTAACTCCAGAGATAATTTAACTACGAGTAGGTAGCAAGGATATTCTGCACCCCAGATGGGGAAACCTTCAGGATGTTGTGTGAGCTATAGCCAGTTCAACCAGCAAGCAGGAATGTTTGGCACAATCTTTGGAGTGATGCACTGCCCATTTTATACTAAACAACTCTTGTAGCACTCTGTAAAGGTGGACATTAAACATCCTCCTAACTCTTCCTGGACATGCAGATTTCTCAAACAACTCACTTGTAAATAACGGACATGAAGTAACTTGGAGTGTACTGGAGTATTTCTCCAGATAGTTTCTGCCTTCTCCGGATTTATTTATCAAAGAATATGGTTCCAATTAATAGCCTGAGCTGCTCCATCTCCAACATTGAAGGAAAATTAGTCATTCTTCTGAGAGCTACTCTGTCAGTTCTTGCTCTCCCTGTTGCTGGTGTCAGCAAACTGCTCCTTTCCATGGCTGAATGCCATTTATATTAAAAGTAACTGCTTACTAATTAGCAGCTATGTCTGTTAACTGCTTATTTGTTACAGCGTGAGTTAGTAACCAGTCTTTGGCTGGGCCATAACTCTTTATAACTGGGAAAATTATTCTTGTTCATAGTAAATCAATAGCCCACCAGTAAAAAAAATACATTATTCCCCACCTCAGGTATCACACTGCCTTTCTAGCATCGAGTAAGATGAGGCAGAGAGTGATGGCGGTGACACCTCCTAGCAGGTGAGCTGTTGTATATAGTGATGTATTAACAGGCATGATTGCTGAGGCAGCTACGTTCTTTAATGATGTATGGCAATCCCTTTTATAGAATTGCTGATAACTACATAACACAGATCCTGTTGAGATATAAATATATATGAATATGACTTTGGAAAATCCATTGAACAATTATCCAAAGGGACAGTCCAGGCTGTTTTGTACCGAGACAAAGTCCAATATGTCTTTTCTGATTTCTGGAACAGCTGCATATAAAGGCATAACTCAAAAGTCATCCGGTAGTGATCAAATCCATGGAAAGCTAGGAAATCCTAGCACACAGTACTGTTCTCTCTACAAAAGCCATATAGTAAAAAGAAATAAAGGGAAAGGTATGGTGCTTCTGGATGCTACAGCCAGGCCTTTGAGTTCTGCTTTAAAAATCCCCTACATCCTCCCTTGAGCCTCACATAAGAAAGGCAGGACATAAATGAAATATAAATGAAATCAAGAAATACATTTGAAGTGACACAGAAATGGCTTATTTAAAATACTGCTTGTCTGCAACAAAAACTTCCAACAGGTCAGTTGCAGTCACGATAAATCTTGCCAGGCAAAAATGAATACAAAGTGCCTTGACAGGCTATTTTGAGAGATTTGGGCACTCAGGGCAGGAAATACCAGATCGCCCTTTGGCAACTGAGTATAGGTAGGGCTACCATATCTGGGCCCCAGAAACCAATTAACCACTAGCTTCAGCAAACCTGGAGGTTTCTACTGCCATCTAATGATGGTTTAGATTTTTCCAGGCCAATTATGGTAGCTTTCTAATGGGATGCCCTTTAAAAATCAACCTTCATTGTTCCTTCAAACAGCCACTGACTTTGGCTAGAAGCAGCATGAGGCAAAACCTGCTTTGGAAAACCTATGAATTTAGATTGAGTCATTGAGAATTAGAGAGCATACATGTTTGCTATTGTTGTTGTTATTCTGTTGGTTCCAGCAACTTGCCTGTAAACCACATGTGCCTCCCACACCTGATGGCTGCATTCCCTTCTCATGACATAAAGAAAACGAGCTTTAATAGTACAGTGGTTTAGTGCACCCTGTTATTAACACAGCTGCCTGCAATTTCTGCTGGTTCGAATCTCTCCAAGGCTCAAGGTTGACTCAGCCTTCCATCCTTTCTAAGGTAGGTGAAATGAGGACCCAGTTTGTGGGGGCAATAAGCTGACTTTGTATAAAATATATAAAAGAATGAAGGCTATTGCTTAATGCATTGTAAGCCGCCCTGAGTCTCCGGAGAAGGGCGGCATATAAATCAAATTAAAAAAAAAAAAAGGGGGATAATGAAGCAAAGGCCTAGAAGAGGAGATGGCCTGAATTTTCACCAAAAGGTGAAGCTCCGTGCAAGGCAAAGAAGAGGTAGGAGGGTTTCTGGTGGTTTGTAAACATTGAGTGGGATTCTTCCATCTCCCCCAGGAGCTCTGTGTTGAATAGAGGCAACATGGAGACAGGCATCAAGAAAGGATCCTGGAAGGGCAACACATTTCTCTCCTGCCCCAACCTCCACTGCCTTTCGTCTTGCTTTTTGCATGTGTAAAAGGAGAGGGGGCTGTTACTGCAGCTGCTTGCAAAAGAGCCAAAGAGAGGGAAAAAAATCTCTCTATATCAAATGCACCTCCAGCTACTCAACCACGCAATGATCAAAATAAGAATCGATTTCTTCAATGCAAGGAGTTCAGTGGAAAAAATAAACACTAAAGAGTCCCGGTTTCCTACCACCACAAGGTTTCATGCTGAAATACATACATACCTCATTACTTGCAGGTACCTCAAACCTATTTCATGTGCTGGGAGAAAAATAATGCTTTATACAGTGCTATTTTAAGACAAGGGTGAGCTGATGGGAGTTCAATTATCTAAGGAAATGTATTTAGATAAGGAGTAAAACTTAGCAGAACTATTACCATTTTCAGGAGGGCAAGACCTTTCCAGATTAATATTTTAAAATTTGTTAAAAGCCTCGCTTGCATTGTCTGCACACCTCTGCCCTACCTTTCTATTATAAGAATCTTCAAAGGAAATAGCAGTGTAAATGTGCAAATTAAACCGGTGTGCCTTGAGGAAATTTAGTTTAATACCTATTCCCACATGAACATGAAGTACAGAAAATATATTTGTAAGAGGACCAAACGGGAGCTGAGGAAGAATTTTTCCTAGATCAGTGTTCCCCACCACAATACCATATTGGGCTGTAACTCCAACTGTTCTTACTAACAGATATCATTAAACATGATTATATACAGTTTATCTTGTTCTTCTTCATAGGTGACATTTCTTGCTAGCTGAGGTTCTTGTGAACTGCCGTTCAAACGCTTCTGGCCAATGCCAGTCCATCTTTTCCTAATCTGGAACGGTGTTTGCCCATAGCCAACATCATCTCTCAGCAGAGTGACCCACCATGGTTTCTGGAAACAAGAGTTGTGGTCTTCTACAATATAGGGGAAGGCTGGCTTAAATCATGGAGATAGGAATATGATGGCCTGCAATTAAAAGATGGATGGGTGGGTGGGTGGGTGGGTGATGATAGATAGACAGAGTGAGTGAGTGAGTGAGTGAGTGAGTGAGTGGTGGCCTTAAGGAGAAATTCACTTGCCAGTTAGATTCTGCCATTTGAGAGCCAATTACAGGCAGACAGCCCTTCTCTCTATCCTGGCCAAAGAAAAAAGGCCCATCGTAACCAGAGGCTCCACTTCCAGCTGTTTCCAGCAATCGGTCCCTTGGGGGAGATTTGTTGGGATGTCGTGAACCGTCCCGCTCGTTTCTTGGAGAAGTTGTCCGTCTTCTCTTCTCTCTCCACCCCCTCCCCCTCCGTCGCAGTGGGGAGCTTCGATCTCCGCCCGCGACAGTGGCTCGCAGCAAATGGAAAGCGCAGCTAACCGCCCCATTGCCTCCAAGCTACGCTCGCTGGCTGCAGTTGCACCTAAGAATAATAACCTACCTAATGGCTTCGGCGGCCCCGGGCTAAAAACCCACACAGCAGGGCCAGAGCGATACAGGCAGAGAGTGGTGGGCGGAATGTACGCGCGCTCCATCTCCAATGCAGCTGGACAAGGAAGCATGGGCAACGCTAAAAGGCAGCGCGCAACAACAGCGCGCCAACCGCCTGTGTGTAATATAGCTGCGCACCACGCGGGTTCCTACGCGGCCCACGTGCTCCTAAACGCTATCCCAATACAAACCAATCCTGTATGGTTGGCTTTGCCGCCCAGCCCGACTGCTCCCTGCTTCCTCGTCCAGGCTCCGTCGCCTCCGTTCCAAAGACAAGAAGCCTGGGTTATCGAGGCGGCGCAGACGGTCGGAGGGGGAAAAAAAATAAAATAAAAAAAAGCACCCGCCGTTTCTTTTCGAGGATGGCTGAGAAACCGGTATTTCTTTGCCAAGGGAGAGAGGCAAAAGAAGAAAGGAGGAGCGCGAAAGCGAAGAAGGAGAGAGGAAGAAAGCCACCGCCAGGCAATAAATAAAACAGATCGCTCTTCTTCTCTGCTCAGCTTTATTTGGTTTTTTTCCCCCCCCTAATTGGTCTCGAGCGACGCGCGGGGGAATTGCGACTGAGGCAGGACGCCGCTCCAGCCCCGCACGGAGGATTTAATTGTGTCCCCCTCCTCCCTTAATTAGAAGGAATCAAGCGGGGGTGGTGGTGGTAAGGAGGCGTGAGGGGAAGAAGTAGACGCGACTCGCAGCTAAACCTCGCAAGCTCAAAACATTTATAATTAAAGAGGCCGCAGTTAGCAGGTTGCCCTTTTCCGAGCCATGCAGGAAATGCGGAGGCTGGCGATGGTTTGGCCCAGGAAGCTAGTTTAAAATGAGAACCACCTAAAAGGGTCCGTCTATAACCGGTCGGCCGTCTGAAATAAAAGACCAAGGCAAGGGAGCCTGCGAGCGAAGTGTAGTAACAATTTTCGCCCGCGATAACTGGCGGCGAACTGCAGCTGTGGCACGCGGGCCATTGTTTTTTTTTTTTTTTTAAAGACAGCGTTCTTCTAAGAAGGGGCGGAGCCGGCATTGGACGCGCCCCTTTCTACAGAGCACCCTTTGCTTTTCAAGTTGAAAGCCACTTTCGGAAAGTTCCTTATTCTTCCGCTCCTCGAAGTCCCAGTTAGAAAACCTCTCTCTCTTCCTTGCCGTCGGGAGGAAGGGAGGCGAAAGTCTTGTACCTCTAGTGGGAAGTAAAGGGAGAGAGAGAGAAGTTATTAACCGCTACTCTACCATCACTCGGCGTGCGGAAACTTTGCATCTGTGACCGGAGGAGGAGGAGGAAAAGTCGCATCCACGAACTGGACAAAGCGAACAGAAGGGGTGGAAAGGGCAGGAAAGCCCAAGGTTCATTGAGCAAGGCGGCTTCGGGGAGCGCGATGCGGAACGTTGCAGTCGAGCAAGATCATCAGCTTAGCAGCTAAAAGAAGCCAAGAAGTTTTTTTGTTTTGTTTTTAATGGAATATATAGGAAAAGACGTCCAAGAGGGCTCGTCCTTGCGTTGAATTAATTTCAACACTGGTGGTGTGCCAGCAAAAAGAAGAGAGGAGAAATTTTTTTTAAAAAGCAGTTTTTAGGCAAGAAACTGAGAATTACCTTTAGCCCAACTGCTGCATTTCTTCCCCAACCCCGCACACACACACACACACTCTCGCTTGACTTGTTTGTTCCAGGGGTTTGCAATCAGAGGCTTATTAGCTAAACGCCCCCCTCCCGAAATCTGTGTCTTTCGCTCTCTGCCTCTTTCGAGTTGGCCCCAGTTGGCAGGCAGTTTGGGAAGCTGAAGCGTTCAGAGAGCACTTGACGTTTCTTTCTGCACAAACGTGATTGGAAAGATCGGGGCACCGCCGAAGGGCAGAATCGCCGAAGTTTCTCTGGATTTAAATCTCACCACCGCTGGGATCGCCTCTTCTTCCTAGCGACTTTTTCTTTTTATTCGGTTAAGAACGCCACCCTTCATTTATTCACCCACCCCCCCCTCCGGTCCTCCCTCTCTGTGCATCTGGGTGTAAGTGAGTGAGGCTGTGTTTATTTTCTTCTCGGAGCTTGGGAAGAAGAGAACGGGGCAACGAGACCCCTGGCTTGCCTGCTCCCCCCCACACACACACGCAAACACACCTTTCTTTCCCCCCCCCTCCCCGCAACTCCTGCTCCGGGTCTGGGGAGGGGGGCTGTTTCACTCGGTTCCGACTGCTGCCTTGTGTGCGCGTCTGTTCGGAGGAGAGCGCGAGCTTCCCGGGAGGCAGATTGGCTGAGTCGAGTTCGCCAGCCGGGCTGAGACGCCTCCGTGGCCGACCCCTGCTTTTCTCCGGAGCTTCATCCTTCCTCCACCCGCTTCGAGGCCGCTGAAAGTGGGCTACCAACAACCGGGATTTTTACGCTCCTCGCTTTTTTTTTTTTTTTTAAACGGATCCACCATCTGAGGCTATCTGGGTTGCCTTTGGGTCTGGGCTTCTATTCTTCTCTGGCTATGAAGGTTCTGTCTTGAAGATGGAGACACTGTGGCTTTTATTCCTGTCGCTGGTCCCGGTGTACATCAGGGGACAAGGGGTCTATGGTAAGAGGCATGGTAGTTTTCGTCTTCGGAGGAAATAAAAGGGTGAGCTTTTTTGGGGAGGGGGAGGGAGGGAAGTAGGGATTGGAGAGCTGGGCTGTATAATCGGATCAAAGTTTTGGGGGTGTTTGTTTTCGGAAAGCACCTGCAGCGGAAGAAAGTAAACGATCGTGGGTAGAATTAAGGGTGGGGAAGTTCCCGATGCAACCCCATCCAGCTACTTTGTAATAATCTCTTGCCGCGGTGACTTCGCCGCCTTTCCTCTTCTCCAACCCCGACCCTCCTATGATTTAGGAGACCGGAGATGTTATATGCTTTTTTTTTTAAACCCTTGAAAAGCCTCCGTCTGAGCGGCGCGAGGGAAAAAAGGGAAGAAAAAAAAAAAGACATTCGAAGCTGCGAGATTCCGTTCGGTGGAAACAAACCAACTTGTTGTTCCTAAGCAGAAAAGGCGCCCTTTAAGAGCCGGTGGGCCATTCGTGCGTCTCCAGTCTCTGCTGGTCTTTGGGAAGCTGGCCGGTCCACCCCCCCACACACACACTTTCCTCCCTTCCGTCCTTTCCTGTGCTTGTCCCCTTTTTTGGATCGCCCATTCCGTTACTAAAATGACCCCTTTCCCCTCTTCCTCCTTTGCCAACATGGATTTACTTGTCGACACGCGTTTCGTTTCAAAAGAGGGTTGCTAGGCTTGAGGAGCCTAGAGGGGGCAAACGCCCCCCCCAGCTCTTAAGATACCTTCCGATCTTGGTGGGGGAGGGAGGAGGAGAAAGAGGCCAACTATGCCTGGAAGAAGGACCCCTTCCCTTTTTGCCACGAGGCGGCGGGAGGTGTGATTCGGGGGCGGGGGGGGGCGACATTGCCTCCGGCTCGCGAGAAAGGCGTCCCGGTCCAGTCGTCACTGAGCTCTAGAGAATTTAAAATGAAGCGGGACGGAGCGAGCTCTGCAAAACAGCACAGCGCATGCACGGGCACTGTTGCTGCTGGGATCCCCCCCCCTACTCTCCCGCCCCTTTTGCTATTCCCGGGAGTGGAGAGAGGAGCTTGGGGAGCGACGGGAAAGGCTGAAGGCTGGCGTTAGAGGCAGGAGCGGGGGTGGGAACGAGCGTTCCCGCCTGCAGACCAAGCGTAATGGTTGGAACGAAAGATTAAAAAGGCAGTGAGGAATCTTTAGTACAGTAGTTTTCGTGGATCACGCTGTCGTCGTTGTTTCCCCCCCCCTCACTTTTCCTGCCACTTTTTAAAAAGATCCTCTTTTCATCGAGGATTGGGAAGGAGATCCGTTCCACAGAGTTAGTGAACAGGTTGGTATCCTGTTTTCAAAAGGATGCTCGTTCACACACAGGAACAGCCAACTTGGCACAGAAACAGCTGACACGCTTGTCAGGAGTACCCCAGAAGAATCACAAGATTATTTATCCCTTGGCAGTGTAAAGGCAAGGCAGTGTGACACACGCTTGCCTCCTCCAGATGCCAAGGATGGACCAGAGCAGTGTCACTATTCAGTCCCCGCCTTTTGCTTTTGTGTAGTGTATGGTGAAGACTTCAGCTTTCCAAGGCATAATAAACACCTTGCTCTTTTGAACAGCAGCCTTGTGTATCCATAGCTGTGAAATCTAGTTCTCCAAACTCCTCTTTCTCTCCATCTCTGCAGGTAGAAAAGTTAAGGATCCTAAACCTAATCTAGAACTTAATGGGGATCAACCCACAGTTCAGCTGGTTTTCCAATGGGTAACCTTTCCATTAAGATTGTAGTCCCCCTCCCCAATACAGCTAAAGTCTTTGTAGTCATTTTAATGATGCAGAAAAGGAAAATAAAAATAAAAGGGAATGGATTGTTCTCCTCTCCATCCACTGGGGCTACAATTGTCAATTTCAGTTACTTGCTTTCAATATTGTTGTTGTTTTTTTGTCTCTTATCCCCTCCCCCAATGCCTGGTAAGAAGAAGGGAGAATAAAAACCTAGAGGGAAATTACAAGACATGCCCCAGAGAAGTGAGATGGGGTATGTAATGTCTTGGTTGCAAAAGAAATGTTGTGTGTGCAGGTTTTCACATCCCCATGGGTATTTTATATGCTTCCAGCCAAACTTTTTATTTTTAATTAGCTTGACTGTTGCAGTCCAAGCAGAACTAGTGGTCTGGTTTTCTATTCTCAGGCCTCTTCAGGGTCTTTTAAGGCTGCCAATCTTCATACTTGACTGTATTCTTTCAGACTTATTTCTGACTCTTGCTTCTTAATGAATTTAGCCCCCTCTTCTCTTTCTTTCATTTCTAGATTTTTGTTTTTGCATTTCTTCCTATCTGTAGATGTTTAACTCTGGTATATTTCAGACACAGAAGAGGGGGCAGAATATACAGAAAAATCAAACAGAAAAAGATGCAAGTTTATTATTTAATCAACAGAGGTTATTTGTTCCTTCAACTGTTTTTTTTGTCTTCTCTATTTCTCTTTCAATGGCTTATGGAGAGAATAAAACCATTTTATTTTGCAATTATATCTTTAATTGTGGTTCAGATGAGTAGAATCAGTATTCCACAAACTTTCCATGGTCAACCATCTGCAGTTCCTTCTTTTTCCAAAGCAGTTTTTAACCACTGCTAATTATGTTAGTTTCTGAAGAGGGAGCTATTAATGTTTTGTGCAATGTTGAACTACAGCTTTTTGCTCTGGAAGAAAAATCTAATCTAGAATTACAGAGTCCTGCCCTTCTACTCCCTCCACGAAATTTGAGCTGCAGCTGTAGTTTTGAGCTGAATGTGATATGAGGATCTGATGTTCTTAGTGGTTGACCCTTGTGACCCTGGAAATTTTGTGAACTGTTATGCATCAGCATATTCTCTCACCCAGGCATTACATTTGATACCAGAATGGTTATAAAAGGCGGCTAAGAAAGGATCCTTGTACACCTTGTCATGAAAGCTGTAAATATAATCTAATAATCTAATGTCAGATTAAATCACATTAAACTAAATGATATACCTATTGTGGACTTTTATAAAAGGCAGCTCCCACATTTAATCAGAATAGATGGAACAAATTAGATTTGTGCTAAGAGAAGCACTTGGACCACAGGCTGAGAAGAACCTGAAAAAGCTAGCTATATAAACTGATCTTTGACATGATGACCGAACAAAGTCTGAGTCTTTTCATAATCTTCCTTTCTTTTGCCATCCATTCATCCAACTTAAGTTGGCTACCAAAAATTTGCACACGTACCCCTTCCCTAACTGCTAAACACACCATAGCTGTGAAAGAGAACCTGCCAATCACTCTCTGACTATACTTGTCTTCCATGACCAAGTTCACATGTGCATATGAAGTAGCTCATCACTCATATTAACAGATTTCTTGTGTAATTTAATTCCTATCCTTTTTTCAGCACTGGCTGTTTCATACTTTGCGGAGGTCACAGAATGCCGTTTTATGTGGAAAGGAGGTTACCGCTGTAACCCTGAAGAAAAGTTAAACAAAATCCCTTCTCCCCTACAAAACAAACTGTTCTGCATGAATGACTTGCCATCTAATAGGGCTCCCATAGGAAGAGATTTAAAGTGGCAAATAAATCAGGGCCGGCTCTTCTATTGAATAGTGTGCTACAGTTTTGCTAGGCGCCTGGATTCGGGTATTGTGAACGAGCAATAAATCTAATGTATCTTTTACTGTGTTTTTACTCTCAGGAAGGGAAGCCCTGTTTGGCTTACTTGCCACAAAAAACTTGGGCTGACCTTAGGTATTCCGCATCTTAATTGGACTGGGCACCATTTGTTATTCTGCGGCAGGCCGCAAGATTTTGTCAGCTGGCCCTGGCGGGTTACAGTTTTGATAAAAATGACTCCTGGGAGAGAAATAAATGAGTAAAAAAAATACACACACATCAGACAGAAAAAGCCCTTTTCATTGTTTTCTCTCCATAACCTCTTATTTTGGATAGTTGAGAATTCTGTAATGTTTTGAAAGGCTGTGATTGACAAGGGTGGGCTGTATTTTAGAGAGAGAACTTGCAGTGAAGAGTGACAGTTCAGAGACAGAACTCTCTGATTCTGTGTGAACTGGAGGGCGACACATCTTGATCAGGAGGCTTCTGAATCTTACTGGATTTTCATGCCAGTAATGATTATCTGCCAAAACTAGATTGTACTGTGTTAGTGAAACAATACATTGATGTCAACTCTAATTATTTATTAGAAAAGTGGGAATTATGAAAAGATCTTTGGAAACTTCCTTCATATTACACTTGTCCATATGCATAAAACAATAGATTGTTCAGCCATGGAAAGTATCTCTATAGCAAAATATCCTAAGCATCAGCTGAATTATATATACATATATATATATTAAAAAAATAAGGAAAGTAAAATACCTATTTAAATTTAAACATGGGTTGAAATAAGTATTGAAGATGAGTGGAAAGAAAGGGGATATGGGAGAAAGGAAATACTCTATTTTCCCAGACAAATATCAAGACTGCAGATATATTTTATCTTGGAATTAATATGAAGTGTATATGTATATAGGAGGGGAGAAATGGTATTTTAAAGCTCACAAAATAAATCTTGTGAGGAGAGGACTGTTCTGTTTGGAACTATAGAAGCTGGACTGCTGTTTTATTTACCTTAGAAGGAGGATTTAACAAGCTTTGATAGGAGTGTTATTGCTAACATGGATCTGCTGACAGCCCAACTTTCTCTTAGTGCACTGAGGAAAAGGCTCAGCAGCTGGCAGTTCCCCATCATTGTCCTCTTGCAAAAAGCAAATCTTCAAGGAACCTTCCAGGGAAAAAAGAAGAGGAAGCTGAAGGGAGGAGCTTCAAAGGAACACATTTGGCTGCATCCTTCGTGAACAGATTTCAAACAGAAATCTTACAGGGGAAGCTGTAGTTATTGTAGACTTGGAAAGCAGACAGAATATGCACAGCAGGAGCTATTCTTCACTGCTGACAAGAGAGAGAAAAAGAGCGGGAAAAATTTGGCTTAGTGAACGATTCCCCACTTTCTAAGACTATG